ATTTGGGTTATTTCATATTTTCGAAAATAATTATCATGTGCCTTTTGTGTTTCCAAACACAAATAGCTTGGATGAAGTTAAAAAAACAATTAACTATTTTACATGCATAACGCGTTTTATTTTTATTTTTAAAATTATCAGGCACTCTTTATAAGTTATATATTGTTTTCAAAAATAAAAGCCATTTCTGATTTTTATTTTTTTAAGGCAAACATAACAGTTATTTGTGTGTTTCAAAATAAAAAGCAGAGTGTCAGAGTTAACATATTTGTGCGTGGAAAAATAAAACGCACATGATAATAATTATTTTTGGAAAATATAATATAAAGCAAATTTTTAATTAAAATTCTTTGAATTTTATTTTAAAATACAAATGATAAGTTATGGGTAGATTTTTGTTTTTTTAATGCTAACTGTTACGGTCCCTGGTTAAAAATACAATATTTCAACTTAATATCCTTTTTGTTTATAGTAATAAATTACAAATTTCAATTTATTTTACAGGCTGTGCAAGGTAAACTATTTGGTTCTAAGGAAATTGTTGCATTATCCTGCGCCTGGTGTCATGAGGTGTATCATAATAAGGAATCCTGTTTTAATCCAGCAAAAATTGGTGAAGAATGTCGTCTAGGTAAGTAAACGATATATTTTACAAGAAAATATAATAAAAAAATTATAAAATTTTGTACCTAAGCTTAAATATATTAAAGTCGAACGTAACATGCGAGTTATTTTATTTTTATTATAAAAAAAAACTTTCATAAGAACACACTGTTATGAAAAAATAGTATTATTGTTTTGCATATTAATTAGAGATTTTAGCAAGAGACTTGTTGTATTTTGCCGCACTTAGGAGCGGCCGAACACGCTTAATTTAGTTCATATAAATTATAAAGTAAGCCGCAAATGCCTCAAATATTTATATTTGATATCAAGTGAACATATCCAATATGTATAGTCTCCGACATATATGAATAGAAAATATATTTCTCCATACAAAAAAATTATCGTAGTTAACATAGACACATTTATTAAATAGTTAAATGTATTTTAAATAAAAAAAAATTTTTTGAGTAGTGAACTTTTGAAAATTTCTGTACTTCAAAATTCTAAGTATACAATATAAAAATTTTATTTTGATTAAAATATTAGACTATTTTTATAAAGATTTTTTTTTTTGTAATCAATTCAAAATGTATGGAGTAAAGCGTACTTTAGCAGAAGTTGAAATTGATAGCAATGATGAGTTCAACAAACATCTTTGCGCACAATATCCTCAGACGAACTTGAAGAGAACTGCCACTAAACGCAAGTACAGTTGTTTATCTGATAACATAGTACCAAACTCTTATGGATCAACTGTGAAACATCGTCATATTTATGTGACATTAATAAAAGGAAATCGATCGATGCAATCAACTGAAGCTGAGGATGTGTGTTGGTCCAACAGTGCGACTCAAGCAGCTGATTTTGTTCCTGCAGGTATGGATGGCATTGAGGAAACAGGAGAAACATATTTAACGCCAAATCCATGTTGGGCATCTTATAATAATGATGCAATGGACACAAGTTCTGGATATGCAGAATTTGAAGAGTCGGATACTCATGTTTCGCCTAACCCATTTGAACTCATTTAACTACTTGAGCGAAGTTTAAAACTATCTTTCACAATATTATGCATGATGATAATATATAGCATTATCTCCAACGCATAATTGAGTGTTTTTATTTTTTTAATGAAAATATTTTTAATATACTTATTAATTCACAAATTATTGAAATTATATACATAGATAAATTAACGATGAAAATAGCAGGGGGGCGGTCATATAAACGAATACGAATATGTACATTGTAACCTAATTTTTTAATATAACTTAGAAAAAAAGTTTTTATACATTTGATTTTAAATGACACTGTTTCGTGAAACTCTTTTTAATGATAGTTTTGTATGATTTGTAAATCATACAAATATCTGTCCGTAATAATTCAATATTTTTGGGCTTATTACAGAGAATTGTTCTATACAACATTTTCAAGAAATTGAAATTAGAAAAATTAACTATTAAGCTCTCAGTTGACATATGTGAGAAATAGCTCTTATCCAAATGTTTTAGAAATTGTAAATAACCCTTATGTTTATGTCATGACTTGCTAATTTACATCGATAATTGGGCTTTTATACTGGCCCAGGAAAGATTTTTATGAACCATTAATGCAGTTACATATTATTTTTAATTTGTATCTGTAGTAAAGAATTTGTATCTGTTGGTGAAAAAATAAGAATGAATGAAAAAAAGTTCCAAATTCTAGTCAGTCTACACGCTAAATAAATTTAAATGGTTGATTTAATTAATAAGTGATTGTTATTAATGGTTGTAAGACAACTTCACTTACGGCATTGGACCGGAAGTGTATATATGGTATCTCAAGAAGCAACGCCTACAGCTCCGATTGTTCTGACGAAAATAGGTTGGTTTCTTTAATAAGAGTATAGTGATGACTGTTGTTAAGATCTAAGTTAAGCAAATAGAATGACTGTATACATTTGCTTTCATTCGATTTGGAGTTGCATTTTCTAAGCTGATGCTATGAGCCAAAAAACAGCAATGGTGTTAGATAGGCATTGCTCCCTTCTAAGGAAAAAAACTACATACAAACGTATATTTACAATTGATACTATCAGTAGTTTATGGAACTTCAATAGTGGAGTTTATTGGCGCAGTACCGTTTACGTGTGTTATGAAAGCTTAACACAGGTAATCATAATAAAAACTATTGACTCTATACACCGTATTGGGTTTTGGTGCTCATTGCTTTAAACTTGTTCTTTAACTACCAGTTTTTTTTTAATTAAACGTTTGTTTAATTTTTTTAATATATTCTATATTTCTTGTTCTTGTTCATTTAGCTCATTTAATTGTTACCGTAACCGAAATATAGGCGGAATATTGTGTTTGCCATATAAGTACATATTACCTTTAAGTTGTATATAAAATTATCAGTTCTTAATTAATGATTCGAATCACAAAACCACTTCAACATCTAACGTCCATAATATTTTATAAACTTTATATATACTGAGGCCCTATGCTCCACTTAGGAGAGAAGGACACCAGTAAGTAAGTAAGTATATATACTATAAATACTATAGTATATTAGTACTCACATCCTATGAGCCAAAGGATCAACAGTACATTAAAAATCTGAATGAAATTCAAAACTCACAATCTCTCACAAATCGTTTGAAGTGCATACGGTAAACAGAGAATTCAATTATAGTGTGGTTTATCAAAAAATTTGTATCATTGGTAATTTTATAAAATTAGCCAGGCTATTTACGGTAACATTTACCAGTGCATAGCACCTAAATTCGTATGGAAATTCCGTTGTCGGGAAACACATTTAGGTAAAGATAAACAAGCTTGCAAATTGGTTTTAAATGCAAACACAAACACATTCACCTCACCCATGGGTATGGTATGCATGCAATTGTCCTCAAGTCTATAGCGAAAGTGTGCTGGTGCAATGGTTGATAGAATTCGAAAACCACCGTTTGTTGCCAGAATCTGTAAACCAAACCTAAAAACCATAACAAAAATTTTCATTGAAAAATTCAATAAAAATAGTACAAAAAATATCAGCAACATTTATGCTGCTGCCATTTAAACAATTTTACATTGTTAACGTTACAACGTCGTAAACCAACACATTTTCACTAGTACCGCTACCATTGGGCCTTTGATGACCTTTCAATGTGACCATATACGTTGAAAAGCTATTTTTATACTCATACCTACAATAAACACTCAACGGCAAGATGTTGTGTTCTCCACAGCACAAGTGTCAAATTCGGATGCCAATGCACATTTTTGAAATTACGTTAAATTCGAAGTACACCGTCATCCGGCGCCACCCACACTATATCAGTTTTTACACTATTATTTAAGTTTTCTATCACTTGCAGCTACCAGAGCTATAACACTTCTGTCATTTCTATTTTTACGAATGCTATAGCACTACTGTTCCTACTGGTAGTTCCATCAAAGCTCCGAATTTTGTGGGTATTGATGCGTTTTCCAATTCCGCATCGTTATTGTAAATTTGTTGACAATACGCATAAGTGAAGTATGCAATCGGCAGTTGAGCTACGTTGAGTGCGTGCGTCCATCAGCAATGAACCAAAATGCAAATCCCACCATTTTCTGTGGTCGTTGTTGTTTTGAATTGAATGTTGAACTGGGATTAACGTCTATGGCACCATTGTAAGTGGTCAAATGCTGTATGTCTATCTTAGCGTTTATACTCGGAAACTCATACACATTTCCCCGAACAACATTTATTTGCTTTTATTGAGCACTGGAGTGGTTGTGCTTGTGAAGCACCTTCGAAAATTCCAATTTCGTAATAACGAAATGAAATTACTTCATAAAAGTGTCAAGTGAAATGCCTGTGGCTTCTGTTTAACCATAAATCAAATAAATATTTGAGTTTTGTTTTTATCTTTAAAAAAAGGATTTCAAATATAAATGCAAATCGAAATGATTAAAATCATAGAAGTGTGAGATTTGTGATAACATACAATATTAAAATATATTGATACTAAATGATTGTAAAAAGTAATACACCAAGAAAAATTATGTAAAAGACTGAATTTTATTATATGAATATTGTTTGAAAAAATTATAAAATAATGAAAAGCATATTATGTCTCAAGTATGAAATTTGTTTTTGCAATGAAATAACTTGACTATTCGTTGAAACTAGGAATCACAATATTGACTTTATTTTAAAGCTACAGTAATCAAAAGCTTTAATTATATATAGAGTCTGTAATCAAAACAATCAGACTCCCATTGAATTATTTTGTGGATATCAAGAATCGTATAAGTTAAGTTTCCGCTGATAATAAGTTAATATATTAAATCTTTTTAAGATTTTAAAATTCTCAGAGAAGGTATTTGATTATGTCTCCAGACTGTCCTCCCCCAAGGCTTCCACTGCAGTCTTTCAATGTAATAGTAATTCTTATAAAATATGCTGATCCATAAGACGGTGTCTGGTGATGAAACCTGTTGCGTATTTTGCAAATAAGGTACTAATCCTTATTTGCAAACACATCGTTCTTCGAATCATTAGCCTTGATAGCTACATGTGCAATTTTAACCTGTTACATTTAAAGAAGCCGCCGTGACATTAGGAGGTCCGCAACAGTTTCGTTAGGTTAATTTCAGTGCACACATTAATTATATTTTCCTTCAGAGTTATATTTTCTACTAATCATCAAGTTAATCTTATAAAAATCTAAAAAATTACAGTGAAATCATCGTAATCCTCCTCAAATAGCTAAGGATGAAAGCCGTTTTGAGTCCACAAAAACCTCGTAATAGTGGGTAGTAGATAGAGGGTCAAACTAGAACCAACCAGAGGCATTACCAAAGGCAAGAATCTGGCTAATGCTGATGCTGGAGATATCGCTAAGTGGGTTGAAGTAAGGGGCCCCTAGAAACTTAAACCTAGTTCTGGCCAGACCTGGACAAAAACACATCAGGTGTTCTGGTGTCATTTCTTCAAGTATTGGTAGACACGCACTACATAAGGTACCACAGGAAAGGCCAAGTCTGGCTTCATGCCGTCCTATGGACCAGTGACCCGTAAAGATAGATACTAGCTTGGAAACCTCAGATTTGTTTCTACAGATTAAGTCAGAGGTTCTATATTTGGAATAAATGGGCCAAGTAGCCCTTGACCTGGCTGCTGAGACAGTAAGGGTCCACTCACTATTTGCCTGTCGCAAAATGGTCACAAATCAGCCTACGCCCGTAGCTGACAGGGGCAGGGATCGAAATAGGGGTATCCGTGGAAGAGGCGCCTAGCTTAGCAAGCTCGTCGGCGCGCTCATTTCCCATAATATTAGAATGCCCAGGAACCCACACTAGAGTAACCTTGGACCTCTCACTTAGTTCACTAATAATTTCCTTACATTCTTCTACTAATCTCGATGACAGACAGACTGCTGATAAAGCTTTAATAGCTGCCTGACTGTCAGTTAGAATCCAGACCTCTTTTCCGTGAAGGCGCATATTTAAAGCAAGAACACTTGCCCTAAGGATGGCAAAAACTTCAGCCTGAAATATTGAGGTGGAATCTGAAAGGTGGTATGATTTACTAATCATTAGGTCCGTAGAAAAGATTCCGGCTCCAACGCCCTCATCCATTTTAGACCCGTCGGTGTAGATCGCTATCTTTCCTAGAGTTGTAAGCAAACCCGCCTCCCAATCTCCTCTTGAAGGAATTATGGTGGCGAAGTTATTGTCGAATAGTAACCGAGGACATAGGTAGTCTGAAACCCTGGCATCATCTATCGGATAGAGCGATGCGATATTACCATGTCCTAAAGCACTCGAGCGCCAACAGTTTAGATCTTTAAGCCTCTGCGCGCTGAGAGTAGCAGCTTGCTTGATGTAAATATCAATAGGTAGCAAGTTAAGTATGACATTGAGCGCACTGGTGGGGCAAGATCTTAGAGCCCCAGTAGCTCCCACACAGGCAGATCTTTGCATTTGATTTATAAGTTTGAGATCATTTCTTCTCAAATATTCCAAACAAAGTCATAAATATTTGGACTGTAAAAAAGCGTTTCTGAAATCGAAAAATGAAACCTTATATATAGGAAATGAAAAAGACTACTCAAACTGCTGTCATGATTTCTGACTCATAATTTTAAGATCATTGTATCTCTAAATCTCTGAAAACTCAAAAACGATCGCATCAGATCTTTTTCATGTTTTGAAAACTCATCATTCGCTGTTAAATTATAAAAAGGACTATAGAAATTATTTTACAGGAAGTAATTATCAGTGAAAATCCAATATATCTGGAATGAAAGCTAGTAAACGTAGGCAAGACTGCTGTCATTTCAAAAATGATCATTTTCGTCAAAATTTTATATTATATCATTCAATGAATTTTCTTAATGCTTAAACAGAAAAGTGAGAGTATATGCCTGAAAACCAATGTCCTCGGTGATTTTGCACAAGCACAGGTTCTTCTTGTCTTGTTGCTTATATTATAAGTAAAGTACTACTTCCAGGGCTTGAAATAACGAAAAAAGTTTTTTAAAATACATAATGACTATTGTACTTATCTCAACATGTAAGCAGCATGTTGAATATAAGAAATGCCAATTCTTATAAAAATCATACGTAAAATCCATATGAAATAATGCCGAAGAGTTTCGATAAGTCTAAGAGTAAACTTAATGTATGTTGAAATATAGATCAAAAAGTAACTGTTTACTTATTATGACTATATGCAACTGAAAGCACAGAAAAAGAAAGCCAATGATGTTCATACCCTTAAAGCATATAGATTTTTGTAATAAATAGACTTATAGCTGAACGCAGTACCTTTGCTGTAATAATACCTTTCTAGAACATACGTTAAACGTAACTTATGATGTGAATATTTGTTCCTACTTATTTATTTATTATTTTATTGCATATTCTATTAGGAGCTTAAGGATACAACAAATTATTATTATTAGTTGGAAATTAACTATCTCTATTTTGTGAAATTTGTCGAAGTTCGTTAAATGATTATTTATTAGAATAAAAAGTTTAGGATTTACGAAACATAAAAACTTTAACTTATATCGACATGAGTACCATTTTAAAGAGGTCTGGGGTGATTACTACAATAAATTGATAATTGTTATATGTAAGTATCAAAAGATAGATACAAGCAATAAGAAAGTGCTTACTTTGATGTCAGATTTTAGTAATTAAATTATGGATTTAGGATATTAGGCTTTTATTTTAAATTTTCTTTTTGAAATTCATTATGTTTTAAAAATAAACATAATAAATAATAGTTCCTAAGATACAATTTGAATCAGTACAAGCTTCGATAGAAAATAAAATTTATCTAAAATTTCAAGCAATTTTATCTTAAAAAGAAATACAATGAACGACTACATCACAGAATATATCTAATAAATTATCAAAAAATGTACATTTTTTTTGTCTTTATTTTCAAATCATTTATTTTATGACATCAAAAAATAAGTGCAAAAAATATGTATCGCGTTCAAAGAACATTAATCATACGGCCTGTTGAACAAACTTAAAAAATTATTTCAAGCTATCACAGCTTAATTTACTTATTTTAAATTAAAATGAATTTCTTCTTCTTTCTTTTTCTTCTGCTGATTTTCCACTTAATTTTCTTCTTATTGTTATTTTTTTTTAATAGGCAATTACGCACCAATCATTGTGCCGCCCTCCTGGATTGTTAAGCTACCGAATAAAGGAAATTTTAAATCTTCCATACGCGTCAACAATAAAAACGCCGCCAATAATGCGGCAAATAAGAAAAGACAAACAACGAAACGTAATAAGAAGGAAGAAAAGAAGGAGCCACGTGCATTTATAGTGAAACCAATTCCATCGCCAGAAGTTATACCGGTCATAGTATTTATTAATCCGAAATCTGGCGGTAATCAGGGTGTCAAGCTGTTGGGAAAATTCCAGCAGCTACTGAATCCACGACAAGTGTTTGATTTAACACAAGGTGGTCCTAAGATGGGGTGAGTGCTGGCAAGATTAATATTACTTTTATTATTTTTATATTTTTAAGTTTATTTATTTTTCGTATTTTACTTTACTTCATATTTTCTTTACGTTTTCTTTGTTTACAGTTTGGACATGTTTCGCAAAGCACCGAATTTACGTATTCTCGCTTGTGGTGGCGATGGTACTGTAGGTTGGGTATTATCAGTATTGGATATGCTGACTCCACCAATCGCACCAGCACCCGCAGTTGGTGTACTGCCTTTGGGTACAGGCAATGATCTCGCACGCGCCTTAGGATGGGGTGGTGTAAGTTGATAAAAGTTCACATTACTATTCCTTAACATGATTTTAACTTTTATGTGAGATTTACCTACTCTCCTTATCGCGTATATTTTCCAGGGTTATACTGATGAACCAGTCGGCAAAATATTACGTGAAATCGGTATGTCTCAAACTGTACTAATGGATCGTTGGCGTCTAAGGGTAACACCAAATACCGATGTTGATAGTGATCACGTTAGTCGAAGTAAAGATAATGTCCCCTTAAATGTGATGAACAATTACTTTAGTTTCGGTGTGGATGCACATATTGCATTGGAGTTTCATGAAGCTCGTGAAGCGCATCCGGAACGTTTTAATTCTCGTTTACGTAATAAAATGTATTACGGTCAGATGGGTGGCAAAGATTTGATATTGCGTCAATATCGCAATCTTTCGCAATGGGTAACACTGGAGTGTGATGGCACCGACTATACGGCCAAACTTCGAGATGCTGGCTGCCATGCTGTATTGTTTTTAAATATCCCAAGGTAAATAAAGTTAATTAATTAAAAACTTTATAAATAATAAAGGTTTTTAACTTTGTTTTTGATTTTCAATTGAAAACTGAAAATAATAAATTTTGCTTCTTTGTTTTCTGTACGAAAATAGCTATGGCGGTGGCACTCATCCATGGAACGATTCCTATGGTCAATCGAAACCAGCTATTGATGATGGACTTGTTGAGGTTGTTGGCCTTACGACATATCAATTACCAATGTTGCAAGCCGGTCTGCATGGCACCTGCATATGCCAATGCAAGACGGCGCGTATTGTTACCAAGAAAACGATACCAATGCAAGTGGATGGTGAAGCTTGTCGTGTGAAGCCATCAATTATCGAAATGGATTTACTGAATAAAGCTGTTATGCTCGCAAAACGTAAACATGGACGTGGTGATGTACAGTAAGTGACTTTTTTCAGTTGCCATTTATTTTAGTTTGGTTATTTCCTCCGACTTTTTCTCCATTTTGCCTTTTTCTGAAAGAAAAATATTGTGCATAAAACCAATTTTCATGTGAAGCTTAATTAAAGATGAATTGTGTGACTTACCTGAATGCTGGTCCTTGTTTATATATTAGTGTATGCGTAAATCGGACGCCATTGTACATCCTTTATATGCTATCCTTTATGTATAAATTTTTTACGTGTGTGTGTAGTTTAAGTTTTTAATTCTATGGAAAATAATTATTTTTCCACATTTTCCACTTTTTGCTCAAGTTGACATTTTTCTGTTGTATAACATTGGCTCAATTTAGTTTTTATCTTTTACTGACGCCATTGCACACATCTTACCTTACCATTTATGAGTTTAAGTGTGAATGAATTTTTCATTCTTAAATTGCATTTTTATTACGTTTTTGCGTTTGCCTCTCATTTTACAATTTATTTTCCCATGAAATAGAATTTATATGTTTTTGAGTGCGTTTTATATGCACTGGCTGTAATCCTTGCTTCAATAATCCTTCTTCCTAAGAGTCCCTTCACTATTATTGGTTGTGTTTAGCGATTATACAAACTAATAAACTTAAATACCTTTTTTACGACCGTGAAGTCATCTACATAAAACGCTTTTTATTCAATAATAGTAAAAAATGTCATTATAAAATTTTTATCACTTTAGTATGTTTGGGGAATATACCGACTCTTTAAATTTTAATAATCGTAAAAAAAAATAATTTTCTTAACTAAAAAAAATTATCAAATGTGATTATATGCAATATGAGAAATTTATTATTTTAATAACCATATTTTATATCTATATATTTTTATATTTTAGCTTCGTAGTTAGTTTTAAAAATACTTTATTATTACCGATATATCGACAGTACTCTATAGTTACGTTAAAGGTACTGATATTATATTATGCTATATTATCATTATAATTTCCAACGACGTACCCTCCGTTATTAATTATAATTGATTATTTTTTTCAATACATTTTATTTGAACATTTCTGTACGGGACAACTTTTTGAATTACTTTTAAATTTATTATAGAATTATTGATTATTAATTAATTAAACAGTGAGCATGCCGTAAGCAATTTTAACGATAATATCACTACACTTAACGTAACTATAGCTGATTATATGGATTGCCATCGTTAATAATAGAATATTTTAAAATAGTAATTTAAAATGTTCTGTACTCTTTACTATTTAATATAGTATAAATTTTCATAAACTTTTGTTTGTGAAAAAATAAAACAGCACTAAGAATATAAGGAACCTTAAATTTTTTATTTAAGTAATAATTACAAAGTATTGAATCGATTATTTTATAACTTCATTTTATCAAACTGATGAAACGGTATAAATTATCATTAAGAAGTTACTGTACGGAAAATCTCATTCTCCTCCGTCCATGCGTGGCGCTTGAGTTTATAATTTGAGTCATCTAAAATCAAAAAAAATATAAAAAAAATATAAAAAAAATATAAAAAAAATATAAAATATATAAAAATATACGAGTACTTACTTTTACCAATGTTTCCAAATATGTTTTGTTTACATTTTGACAACCAAATAGCTTGAAATTTGTTCCATTTTTTATTTCGTTTCACTTGCATATGCAGCATTACCATTTCTAAAAACCTAAATGACGAATAAATTACGTTAAATTCGGTCATTTAAAGACCATAAATGATCATTTAAAACTGCTAAATGAGCAAATAAATTATAATTTAGTCCCTTAATGATAATTTAGCTCCCGTCTGTCAATGCTACAACCCTGATATTTAAAATGATTGCTTATCGCTGTATGTTTAGATGTAGTGACTAATCACTAGATACTACTCTGTTCCTCACAATTAGAACTATTTGCCGTTTTCTTCTTCTTCTTCTTTGCTCCGTTAACTCCCAGTGGAGCATAGGGCCTCAACAATTCCTCTGAACCGTATTCTATTTGGAGCAGCCGTGCGGATGTCGTTCCATGAGTAGCGCGCTGATGTTAATTCGGAATCAATTGTCCTTCGCCATGTTCTTGAAGTAGCCGTTTTGGCTCCGTTTTAATAAAGCATATACAT